ATCTATCCATCCCGCAAACTGGACCTATGTTGCTCCGGGAAAGCGAAGCATCCGGAATGTTACGACATTCGCAACGAGCAAGATGGATGCATAGGTTATTGGCGATCTGTACCGACTCTCACTGTGCACAAGTGTAATTTCGAAAGCAGGGAACAAATGAACGGTGCGTCGGCATATCTGGACGGTTCTCACATTTATGGATCCACCGACGAACAGTTGCACCGAATCAGAACGTACAACCGAGGAAGGGTCGACATTTCTGCCTGCGAAGTGTGCAACAGCACCGGGGATAAGCCTCTTGGAATGGTATACGCTGCCTTTCTGAGCGAGCACAATCGCATAGCCGAAGCATTGGCGGACGCCAACGAGCATTGGGACGACACCAAGTTATTCTTGGAAGCTCGACGATTGGTCATGGCGCAAATTCAACACGTCACTTTGAACGAATACGTACCGAGTATTCTCGGGGAGGGTGCTCGAACGGATCCGGAATTAATGCCCGTTTCGAGCGGGTTCTACAACGGTTACTCGTCCTCGAACGTAGGAGGAACGTACGATGCTGTCGCGCTGGCGGCTCTGCGCGCTCTGACGTCGCTGCGCAGCCACAGAATCGACAACGCCACGTGCTTGGAAGACCACGTGATCGCCTCGGCCAATCGCGTGAGCCTCGACCTCGGTCACTCCGCTTTCGAATCGAGAGTCGACGCGAACGCGCGCTTTATACACGTGGGCCGTGATCATGGGATCCCCGGATATGTCGAGTTCGTAGCCGATTGTTCTGGACGCAATGTGACCGTACGTTTGTGCAATTTAATTCGCATATATAGAATTTTTTCTCGCACCGCTGTGATATAATGCTTTCGAATATTTAAGAAATTATTTTATCGATTATTCTTCAACTATATTCAAAACACGTGTCTTTCCTTTTTTCATAGATCCAGAATTTCATGGATTTGGAGCGTCTAATGCATCCCGTGCACGCGAGACTCTTGGAATCCGTATACTCTCGGGTGGAAGATATAGATTTGCTGCTCGGTGGAATTTTCGAAATTCCTAGAAGGGGTGCAACAGTAGGTCCGACGTTCGAATGCCTTCTCAAGAGGCAATTCATCAAGACGAGAAACTCGGATCGATTCTGGTACGAGAATGACATTCCACCGTCCGGATTGAATCCAGTTCAACTCGCTGAAATTAAAAAAGTTTCTCTGGCTGGTATCCTCTGTGCCAACACGAAGATCGACAAGATTCAACCGAAAGCGTTTATACAACAGGATCCATATCTGAACGCGAGGATCAATTGCGACCAGCACAGTGTACTCGACATCGCTCCTTGGCGAGAAGAGCCTCTTCCAGAGCCAGCCAAGGAGGTAGTGATCGGCACCAGATCTGTAATCCCTGAATTCATTCCAGAACTCAGCCCGAGTTTGATAGCAGCAGCTGTGAAGAAAGCTGAAGCAGATTTAATCGAAAGAAAGCAATTGGAGTACAATTCGTGGTTGCAGCAGAGAATAGCGGATCCCAAGTCTCCAGCTGGAACGGCTGCCAGCTTCTCAAAAGCCAACAGAGATGCTCTCCTGTTGGCAAACTCTTCCATCATGTACGAGTTGGCCACTAATGAAATTCTAAATGGGATACACGGGCTGAAACGCAAGAAACGACAGATCTTTGACACCACGGACAATATATTGGGTTTTCCCAACAACGATTTCTCAGATCTGCTGCAAAACGTCGACATTTCCGGATTCCTGTCCCAAAAGAAGCCTACGAATCACGACGAGGTCGAGTGTCCCGTGGACGATAGCCCTTGCGATCCAACCTCTCCGTACAGAACCCTCTCGGGCCACTGCAACAATCTGCGCAATCCCAACCTGGGCAAATCGTTGACAACATTCGCCAGATTGCTGCCCCCGGTCTACGAAGACGGAGTATCGAAGCCCAGAAGCACCTCTGTAACAGGAGTGCCTCTACCAAATCCCCGAGTGATCTCCACGGTGATCCATCCCGACATATCCAACTTGCACAATCGATACACTCTGATGGTAATGCAGTTCGCACAATTTCTGGACCACGATCTCACCATGACACCTATTCACAAAGGTTTTGCCGAGTCTATACCTAGCTGTCGTTCTTGCGATTCACCCAGAACGGTTCATCCCGAGTGTAATCCTTTCCCAGTGCCACCTGGCGACCATTACTATCCCACTGTGAACGTAACATCGGGCGCACGAATGTGTTTCCCATCCATGAGATCGCTGCCAGGCCAACAGCATCTCGGGCCGAGGGAACAGATTAATCAGAACACGGCTTTCCTCGATGGATCCGTGGTCTATGGAGAGAACACTTGCATCTGCAACATACTTCGTGGCTTCAACGGTCGAATGAACATCACTCAGAGCCCGCACAGAGGGGCCAAGGATCTCTTGCCTCAATCGCCACGCATCCCGAATGCAAAGCCAAATCCGGTTACTGTTTTATCGGCGGAGACGGCCGAGCCTCCGAGCAGCCTGGATTAACCGTCATGCACACCATGTGGGTGCGCGAGCATAATAGAATCGTGGAAGGATTAAGACAGATCAATCCTCACTGGGATGGCGAGAAACTGTTCCAACAATCTCGACGCATAATCAGCGGGATGCTGCAACACATCACGTACAACGAATTCCTACCTCGAATACTTGGCTGGAACGCTGTCACTCTTTACGGATTGAAACTGTTGCCACAAGGCTACTACAAGGAGTATTCTCCCACTTGCAATCCCAGCGTGCTCACCGAATTCGCCTCCGCTGCGTATAGGATCGGTCACTCGTTGTTGAGGCCTCATCTGCCAAGAATGGATCGCAACTATCAGAACATGGAACCGTCTATCTTGCTCAGAGATGGTTTCTTCGACCCGGATGTGCTCTATCAATCGAACATGATGGACGAAATGACGCGAGGATTGGTCGCGACCCCTATGGAGACTTTGGATCAATTTATAACCGGCGAGGTGACCAATCATCTGTTCGAGATCCGCGGGATACCGTATTCTGGAATCGACCTGGTTGCTCTTAATGTTCATCGGGCCAGGGATCACGGTATACCGTCGTACAACAATTACAGGGCTCTGTGCAATCTGAAAAGAGCGACCACTTTCGAAGATTTGTCGAGGGAGATGGCGCCAGAGGTGATAGCTCGGATGAAACGCATCTACGCATCCGTGGACGACATCGACTTGTTCCCAGGTGGGATGAGCGAGAGACCTCTTCAAGGCGGATTGGTGGGGCCCACGTTCGCCTGTATAATCGCGATACAATTCAGGCAGGCGAGGAAGTGCGACAGATTCTGGTACGAGACCGACGACCCGAATATCCGGTTCACCGAGCACCAGCTCGCCGAGATTCGTAAATCCACGTTGTCGAAGGTTATGTGCGAGAACATGGACAATCAGAACGACATGCAGAGGGCGGCGTTCGATTTGCCGAGCAATTTTCTGAATCCGCGAGTCCCTTGCGGCTCGATGCCGCAAATGGATCTGACTGCGTGGAGAGAAACGAGGCACGGTTGCCAGATCGGAGGAAGGAACGTTGCTCTTGGAGAGTCTGGCTTTCCTACGCCTTGCACCAGCTGCGTTTGCACCGCCGAAGGCGTACGTATTTAATCCTTTGCATCGTGAAATCGTCTCTTGTGCGATTACTTTTCCTCCAGAAATCTTGAATTATGCTCGAGGATATAGATATCGGATTATTTGTTCCTTTCGTAATTTAAAATTGGGTTGTAAGACACGAATTTTTTTAAATTCTTATCCATTTTTATACACGTAAGCTAAATACTTCCTGAAATCCAATACGTGCTTATATTGGATAGTTTATCAAGGATATCCTGATTTCACTCGACTTTTTCCTATTCGATCCTCGAAGCTCTAAAGATTTCTGGAAAGTGCTTGCTTTGATATGAAAACGAATAAATCGGATAGTAAATTATTAGAATGAATTATTAGAAACAAATATAAAAGAAATTAAATTACAATCGTTCCTGTTTTCAGACTCAATGCGCTTCTCTGAGGATTACCGATTGCAATCAGCTTTTACGCGAAGCTTCTCGCGAGGCAATTCTACGCGATGACGTGTGCACAGCTCAGTGTGGTTTCGTTTTGGCAGCGACGGAAGCTTCCTCGAGACTTCAGCAATTTACCACGCCGACCAGTTTCCCTGGTTTCGTATCGCACAGAAATAGTTTGAGAAGCGCGCCAACGCCAGTTTCGTTCAACGGGTTCAAGTTGCCCGATCTGTCGCAATTCATAGGTTGAGCGGTGGAAAAAATGTTAACAAAGACTTCTCTCCTATAACTGGTTGCTTACTAACTATCACACGCAAGAGAATCACTGTCTTCCTTCGAGAGATCGTACAACGACAGTGAATTAACGAGCTGCACTCATCGTTAAAAGGTTGAACAATTTTTTGTAAGGAATACGAGTCAAGAATCACTGTGAATGTGTTATGCGCGCGTCTCAGCTCGTACATTTTGATAGAAATCGTCTATGAAGAGAGGTCAAGAAGTAATATGTTTCAAGATTCGCGCATGTATCATATACTCGACTGGAAATATTTTAAATATTGTTTCATTTTGTAACGAATACCTCTCTCTTTTTCTTTTTTTTTTTCTTGTTATGTTTAGTACTATTTTGTAGATTATAAGAAGTATTTAATTTATATTATATATATATACGTAAGAAGGTGTACTGGAATAAGGAAAGTCAAAAGAGGTCAGTACATGATATACTCCTTGTATAAAGCTGTCAGTTTGAAGGAAAAATTGTACAGTGATCTCGTAGTACGTAATTGCTGTGTAAGGAAAAAGGACTTCAATAAATTGTCACGGTATTGTGACGTCTGTTAGACAAAAGGAATAAAAATGTGAATAATAATAGGCGAAATGAGTGATATGTATATTAAAAAAGTTGCGCTAGCAGTGGCCCAAATAAATCCTTTTTATACTTGTATAGTAATGTTATAACGCGAAAATAACAAATGCGAACACAAAATTTAATTCTGAATTGTCTTTCTTTTTGTCATTACACCTCTATCTAATTTTGTAGTATAATAGTGACATGTATAATGTTAATAAATGTTAATATTTCTTTTTTTTTCTTTTCTATAATAAATAGTAAACGGCGTCCCAGACTTCCATTACTTATTAAACTATGAAATCGCTTTTCCCGGAATATCGCGATTATTTAGGCTGATTCAAGGCATATTATAGAGATCTGATTATATGTACAAAACATATGACAGATATCAGCCGATTAAATACAATTTCAACGATATAAATTGCCGTGATTTATCCTTTATATATAATACGTACATCTCTCGATGATGTAATCTTCTCTTTTTTTCTCTTTTGGAAGGTATTAAAAATACATTATTTATGAATCGTTAGATCTTTAACTGGCAGGAACTTCTTGTTTATTATTAAGCACAGTAGTATTTTCTTGTATTGCAGGTGTTTGTTCTATACATCGCCAGAGACCATAAGTTTTTCCAACAGTTGTTTGCCATAATCTCAATGTACCATCTTCTGAACCACTAGCGTATAATTCACCATCCGGTGAGAAACGTACACAGTGCACAGGTCCAAAGTGTCCTTTAAATGATTCTATAAAAATAATATTAAATATTTGTAAATATGTTAAGTGTAAAGAAATATAATAGTTATGTTATCAATTTCGTAGTCAATATTAATTTACCAATTTCCGCGCCCGTAGTATAATCAAACTTGTACATTTTTAAATCTTCTCCTCCACATACAAAAATACTACAATCTGGATGCAAACTGGCGCTATTCATTTGTGTTGGTGCAGTGTATTCACGTAATTTGGTTAATCTATACAGATAATTAAAATAATAAAAAAGTTTTATTGATACGTAATTAAAAAATATCGAATAAAAGATATAAAAAGATATTAGAATGAACCAAGGCTAACTTGAAGGTTCTATAACAAATCCATGCATATTAATGTGCCTGTACTAATAATAATAAAAAAATATATATTACATATTAACCCTTTGCGCTCCAAATCCCAATAACATGCTCTCACATTCACTGTCTATTTTTATTTTCCAGCTTCTCTTACTGCACATCTATTTTCATCACTATTTTCCTTTTCGCTATCGTCAATTTCTTAATGAATAGAAATAATTCCGTTAACAACGAAAAATCAAACTCATTTTCTCTTGACCTAATTTCATTCCATATTTACAAAATTCAAAAACCTTGAAAATATTATTTCTATTGCCACGATTATCAAACTCGGATTAACGCCGAAAATGTAATTCGATCTAATTTGATATAAAAAATTTAATCATTTGATAGTATATTATTCTATACTTTATAAGATTACGCACAAAGAACTTAGAAATCTATTTACGATATTTTAGCGATATTTTAAAAAAATCAAACATAAATAAATATTGTCGCCGTTCGAATTGCTGCATTAATTCAAGAGTCACTGTTGGAGCGCAAAAGATTAAGATATCTTGAACTTGTTTTCTTATATTCCTTATCTCTATACTTTTCAATAACATAATCTATAGATTTACAATTACAAATTTACAAATATAAAAAAAAAATGTACATACTCTCTACTATTCCAAAAAGTAACTATATTGGAATGAGTTGTGGTAATGATATTTCCATCTCTTGATACTTCCATAGAATTTGGAATTGCCGGAAAATCTAACCTTTTGACTTCTTGACCACTATTCCTATCCCAAACTCTTAATGTTTTATCATCGCCACAAGTAATTAATGCAGTATTATTATTGAAAAAGGTAACATGTCTGATACCATTTTTATGGCCTGAGAAAACCTGTTGATATTATTATTATTAAAAAAAAGTGCAAAATATTATGTTTGCAAATATGAATTTATGAATATATACTTGTGGTGCTGCGTCTGGTTTGTTAAGATCATAAATTCGTACAAGTTTCTCATTGGAGCCAGTGCACAAATAATTAGAATCTGTACTAAAGTTGACAGATTTAACAATATGTTTATGTTGAAATGAATGAATTTCTTCTCCTTTTATTGCATCCCAAACTTTAGCATTAAAATCTGCAGCACCTGAAGCAGCTCTTGTAGCCTGAGGGTTTAATGCAACACCCCACACTGCTCCTTTATGTCCTTCAAATGTTCCAATCCAATCTCCAGTATCTCCTTGTCGTAACATAGGTTTGCCATCTAAAAATGTAATAAAAAAATTTTTTGCTTTTTATAAATATATGTATATATATATATATATACAAAAATAAATGTTTCATTAAAGCATTATAATTTTAAAAACAAAATAAAATATGTGCACGTGATTCAATAATAATCTTCACTAAAATAGGTTAGAAAGAATTTCATCAATCAAGATAATTATCGAATGGAATACAACAGGAAATCGTACGAACGTCGCAAATATACAGTATCTAACCTCGAAATACGTAAGTTATAAAAACCTTGGTTTTCGAAGAAACTGGGCCAAGGCGAACAAGAACGTGTCGGTCGTGAAGAAAAAAAGAAAGAGATTGACCGATACGAGTCACCGGCGAGTTTCTCTTCAAGGCGAAAAAAATCGAAAATTAATTACCTTTGCACGCCGAAATCAGATAATATCCAGATTCAGTGATATCGGAGAATGCGAGATGCACCACGGGTCTAGTATGTCCACTACAAGTCAGCGGAGTTTGTCTTAAATTTGCCATAATGTACGATTGTAACTGCGAATGACGATACTTTTCCCTTTCTTCGATGCACCTACACTCGGTAGAGCGCGAGGAAGAGATTTACTCGCAAATATACTTCCACATTCCCGGTGAACTTTCCATTAACTAAAAATCCTCTTCCAACGAACCGTCACCATCTACGTACGACGCGACACTGAACGTCGTGAACGTAGCAAGCGCACAAAACTGTAGGCCAAGTTCAGGCAGGAAGAACGTTATGGCGGCCTCGACGATGTTTTTCAAGTCGATTTAACCAGTTTCGAGGACGAGAGTGTTGTTTATTTCTGTTTTTCCATTAACAACTATACATAATATTCTTGTCAATAATTCAATAAATATGATAAATAATTTATTTGTAATATAA